AAATATTTATTTTGGCAGGCTTGTGCCATCCTAAAAATGGTAATGGAAATGTGTGGAAAGCAGGTACTGTGCTTATACATTCACTACTTGTCTAATATTCTTCAGCCAATTTAAATTTTTTCATCCACTGAAATGTCAAAGTTCTTAGAGCGATGAGTCATCCATCTGTTACATTGATTTTTTTTTTTTAAAAAAACTCAAAACCATTTTTAACTCAAAACGGAGAGAAAAAAATTCAGAAACTAATTAAACATAAGTATAATTAATAATCTAATTAATTACACAGTTCATAATAATATTCTAATAATACCAAATACTTACAATGAACCAGATAGATCATTTCTGCATTTTGAGAAAGATTTGCAGCTCGTGTGTACAGGGAAATAGACATAGGTAGTACCCATAACCTTTGTGTTGCTAAATTGAAGATCAAGTTAAAAAGGATGAAGAAGGTTAAAAAGAAGAAAGCCCTTCAGTGGCACAGTTGAAAGATCCAAACACAAAAAGTGCTTTTCAGCTTGAACTGAAGAACAGATTAAGTGTTTTAATGGAATCAGCTAAAGAAAACCAAGACAGTGATACTCTGTGGGAAAACATTAGAGTGTGTCGTCTAGAAAGCACAAAGACAGTCCTAATAATAACAAAATCTAAAGGGGAAGAATGCTGGGGAAGAATGCTGCTTAGGCAACAATGGAAAAGAGAAGTAGTAAAAAGAAAAAACACATGAATGCTAAGATGTGTGAAGAGACAAGCAAGTGGCAAGAAGAATACAGAGCTCTACAGAAAGAGGTAAAAAGGAGGAGTGCTAGAAGGGAGGAAAAGGCATACATTGACAGAAAATGTCAAGAGGCTGAAGATGCTAGCCAAAGAGGTGACCTTATAACCTTGTATAATACAGTTAAACAGCCAACAGGAAACTTTAGCAGCACTGGAGGCCTTGTGCAAATGGAAATACTCTTAGTGCAGAAGAAGAGCAAAGGAAAAGATGGACAGAACATTTTTAGGCTGTTTTAAATAGACCAAGAACAAGCAAAACTCCTGAAATACATGATGAAGACTTTGCATTAGAGCTTGACATCCGTAAACTCAAAAATGAGAAATCAGCTGGAGAGGATAACATAACTGGAGAAATGGCTCAAGCAAGCGACGAAACAGCCCTCCAGACTTTCCTTGTGTTTTTAGATAGAATATGGAATGAAGAAAAGGCCCTAACCCAAAGGAAGAGAGGCCATAGTAAAATTGCTAAAGAAGGGTGACCGTACCTATTCCAATAATTGGAGAGGAATCACATTGCTTTTAGTGCGTCATCCTAGAACATATAAAGAAACAGATCTCCAATTTAGAGAGGAACAAGCAGGTTTGAGACCACTGAGATCATATGAAAACCATATTGTTGTTCCCAAATATATTATAGAACAAAGTGTGAAGTGCAATGCACTCTTGTGATAAATTGTACAGATTTTTCAGAAGGCTTTTGACAGTATACACAGTCTTTGGAAAATTATGGCATATCATGGAATACCAACAAAAATAATTAGAATTATCATGGATCTCTACAATAATGCAGAATGTGCAGTCAGAGGTGGTGACATCAGCTGCCAATGGTTTGTAGTGACAACTGCAGTAAGGCAAGGGTGTATTATGTCCCCACTATTTTGCATTGGTCATTGACTGTGTAATGGCAGAAGGCTGCCGAGGAATTTTATGGACAAGTGTATTGGATGATCTTATTTTTGCTGATGACATTTGTCCTGCTTAGTACTACACATCACTTAATGTAAGAAAAAAAATCTAGCTATTGGCAAACATAACAAAACAATTTTATTAACAAGGGGAAGCCAAGTATATGGCTATCAATGTCCCAAAAGCAACCATCAGAGTAGATGGAGAAGCACAAGAAGTCAGTCATTTTACCTATGTAGGGAGTGAGATGTGCAACAATGGTGTCACCATGCTATGTGTCAAGCGATGAATAGCAAAAGCAGCAAACAACTTTCTTAAACTTGGAATTATGGAAAGGTAGCACGATTGGCATGGATACAAAAATACGATTCTTTAACACCAGCTTCACGTCTGTCCTCCTTTATGGAGCCGCATTATGTAAATCTACAACAGAAATTCATAAGATCAACTCATTCCAAAGTAAATGCCTGTGGAATATCTTCAGAGTCCATTAAAAAGAGTTTCTTGAACATTAGAAATTCTGAGTAGAGCAAACCAACCTAAAGCATCAAACCTGGTAAGAAGACAACATTTGAGGATACCCTTTAAAGATGCCATCAACTTCCATGTCAGGTGAGAACACCACCTGGGAAGAGAAAACAGGGCAACATAGAGAAACATTGTGCAGAACAGAGAAAGAAGCCAAATCTATCAACATGACACTCAGAAGCCTGAACAGACCAGCAGAAGGCTGATATAAATGGCAGAAACTGGTGAACGCCCTATGTACCTGAGAATGCAGGAGGATAAAGAAGAATACCTAATATGAACATAGCACTTTCTATCTCCAAAGAACTGTAAATCATTAACTAATTAATCCTGCTGTTAATATTATTTGGGTTTGCGTCTCCTGAACTCCAAGCTTCTGTACTTCTTTCAAACTCTGAGATGTGCGGGATGTCTGGCTCACATTGTTTGTGCTATAGTTAAGCCTGGAGTGAATTTTCACTGCAGAAGAAGATGATTCAGAAGAAGGATTTAGAACAGACCTTTCTGCTTATAGTTGACATTATAGTTGTAAACACAGAAGAGACAAATCAGTAGGCTTGCCCGTTTGTTGGATATACTGTATATTGTTTACTCCATCTCCAGCCTTATCTACTTTAGTAGTTAAGAGATTTAAAATCTCTGGAGGTATCAGAGGTGAATGCATTTCTGTGACCTGCAGCTAGGACAGTCAGGCCCCAATCCTGCCCCTTACTCAGTCAACAGAATGAGATATCTCCCCCTGTACACAGCTCACCTGCCAACCACTAATGAGTTAAATATTTCAGGTTAATAGAGCCATGTTTTCAAAAGGGCAGCTTCCCTTTTGTGGGCAAAGTTTTCACCTACAGAATTCATGCCTGTAATTGCAACAAGTATCAGGGGGTAGCCATGTTAGTCTGTATCCATAAAAACAACGAGTCGGTGGCACCTTAAAGACTAACAGATAATGTGTCATTATATAATGCCTGTATCTGTAATTTTCACTCCATGCATCTGAAGAAGTGAGATTTTTTTTTTACCCACGAAAGCTTATGCCCAAATAAATCTGTTAGTTTTTAAGGTGCCACCGGACTCCTTGTTGTTTTTGTGTAATTGCAACACTGGCACAAATCTTCGGGAGCAGAGCATGAGTGGAAGTCAGGCAGCTAGCATTGCAGGAACCCTGACTTACACTTGTAAGAAGGGAGGCTTCTTAAAGGTTTACCCCAAAGTTTCCTTCTGTATACGTCCTTGCTACACAAGCCACGCAGGGGGCTATTTAATTATCTGACACCTCAGTATTATTTTTCCAGTAGCCCTTCGTGGTGAGTGGGCTGCCAAAACTTCTCTGCTTTCTGCTTCCTTGGTCTTCTTTTCTCATTCCTGTCTAAACACTTTCACGCATGCTGCCCCTTGCACTTAAAATAGTCTCCCAGACAGTGTGCTGCAAGCCCCCTCCTTCTACTTCTGTGAGTCACTTCTTATCACTCAGTGAGGGAACTGATTCACATATGACCTAATCCAAACCCCACTGAAGAAAGACTCCCATTGACTTCAGTGTGCTTTCAATCAGAATTATAGCCTGGAGATTGCTTGGGCCTATTGTAAAGCGAGGCTCAAAATAACCCCAGCTGTAGGGGCCAGCTATGACCTAGATTTGCAATACTTGAACATTTGGAATTGTTCTTATCCAGGACCAAGTTTCAGCCTTATCTCTCCCCCAGCCCCACCTGTTTGGTAAAGAGACAACCTCCGCCGGCCACACTGATATTTTAATGGCACTGTCTCTGTGTGTAACTTTGGACTGTGAGCCCTTCAGGATGGGGATTTTTGTTTTGGCCCTTATATGTTACCTGTCATAAAGTGACAGTGTAGCCTGTTCGCGAGTGTGCATTATAGGTCCCCATCTGTGCCCAGTCCACAAAGCACCTGAGGCTATTACGGCATCAATTAGGAATCCTTCACTATTTAGCTCAAGCTATAGCAGCTCATGCTTTTAGCTTTGGAGGTTCCCAGTTGAATCCCCGATGCATCAGCCAAGATGCCGACCATCATACTATGACTACGAACCTTTACTAATTAGACTGTGACCAATCGTTTAATTTGTCTCTGAGCACAGCACTTGGCAGCTCCATCTTTTGGAGAAGAAAGATGAAAATCAACAAAAAGATTAAAAAACATTGTAAGCATATCTCTCCCCATGCTATTAAAATGCCTTTTTATTTCTGTAGCCATGAATGGCAGTTACAGAACTTGCAGCAAGACATCAGGTGGAAGTGGACACTCTGAGTCCTCCGGTATAATCTGTGCCTATCTAATTCTAGACAAAACAATTCTCCCACTTGAGAAACTGGTAGTAACTTGGAGTATGCAGAAGGAACAAGTCAGGCCTCTGGCATCTGCTTAAACATGTAACCTGTTGTGGGGGAGGATTGGTGCCAATGAATCAGTTGCTCCCCTTCTCTAACAACTGTGGATGATTGCTCCCCAATGGGTGCCAGCAGCTGCTGGCACCAAGTCAAACACCTGTCTGCAACATGTGCACAGCTGTATGGTGGAGCTTTTGAGGGAGGCATGAGCAGGTAACAGATTTATCAGGTCGAGCCCATGTGCCCCGACACTGCATTGAACAATTCTAAATCTCCTCAGCAGGTATGTGTCTGTAAATGTCAAAACTCACACTTGCCTACCTTGTTCTGGAAGGTGTGTATATATATTTTTTGCCATTACAGACCTGAACTGATCCATGCCTTTTCTTTCCTCTGAGAGAGTAGAATATTTGTAACCTTCATCTATATTTCAAATTGCAGGTAGTGATTAATTATTCAATTGTGAAAGGACTGAAGTACAATCAAGCAACACCTACCTTTCATCAGTGGCGCGATGCACGACAAGTCTATGGCTTGAACTTCGCAAGCAAGGAAGAGGCTACCACGTTCTCCAATGCAATGTTGTTTGCGCTGAATATCATGAATTCACAGGATGGAGGTATGAGCAATCACTTTGCTCTGCTCTTTTATTAATCGCTCTGCTAGCCTGTGGTGCAGGTACGCCTGGTATCTGTGCCATGCCAAAACAAATAAGCAGAAAGGTGTAATTTAGTTTCCTTGTAGAGGGTCTTTAATTGCACCAACAGTTGCTGTGGCAGGCACTGTACGTATTTATATTCTTTGCTTTTCCTTCTTTTTTTCCATTTTTCACTCAGTCTAGTCCACGCCAAGAGATTAGTGGCCAAATTTTGCCATCCTTACACTGCATAGTAGCTGACTGGGCAGGTAGCTCCATTTATTTATATGATTCCACTGGTGGAGTAATGTACAACTCAATATGAGTAAGAGTGGTAGAATCTGAATCTAACAAACAAAAGCTAGAGCAAAGCTGCCACATCTCATAAAACTTTACATGTAGAACTTGGAGCTTGTATTTCTTCGGGTGTCTTATTTGTCAGTTACAAACATTGGCTACATTGGCCTACCTGCCTTGCATAGAGGGTACATATATGTACAGTGTGTGGCTTCTGGTTGTAGGACACAGTAAGGGCCAAAGATTTAAACCTTGGCTTTGGCTTATGCTGTTACAAGTAGTATATTGACTGCAGTTCAGGCTTATAGTGGAAAGTAATTGCTTCATGAGTTGAAAAGGTGACTGGTGGTGTCTTGCCAAAGACACCGACTAGGGGCCATATTGCCCAGTGGAGGTCACTTTCATAACCCAAGAGGTTTTAAGTTTCTTCTGTAAGCTTAAAGCCTTTGATCTATAGTATCTGAGTTAAATTCTGCGCTCAGTTATGTGTCTGTTACCACACTGAAGCATGTGGGTTAACTGAGTGTAGAATGTAACTGTAAATGCCTTGTTATACCATTTATTTTATTTTCCTGCCAAAAAACGCTTCAGTCCTCCATTTTCCCTCTGGAAGTGCTTCAGCTCCAGTTACCCTCCACTGAGGCATCTGTGTTAGGGCAGGTCTTCACTACAGTGGGGGGTCGATTTAAGATACGCAAATTCAGCTACTCGAATAGCGTAGCTGAATTCGACCTATCGGAGCCGACTTACCCCGCTGTGAGGACGGCGGCAAAATCGACCTCTGTGGCTCCGCGTCGACGGCGCTTACTCCCACCTCCGCTGGTGGAGTAAGAGCGTCGATTCGGGGATCGATTGTCGCGTCCCGACAAGATGCGATAATTCGATCCCCGAGAGATCGATTTCTACCCGCCGATTCAGGCGGGGAGTGTAGACCTAGCCTGAGATTACAGTTTCATGTTATCATCTCACCCAAGTGCAGTGCCTCCTTGGCAATAGTGGCAGCCATCTTAAATAAATGAAGTAATAACTCAAACATTTTAATAATTTCTGACTCACACAAAACACACTAAAATGCCATTTAAGCTCAGAGCAATGTCACACTCATCTCCTAGTGACCCCTGGAGCATCTGGAAGTATGTCTTTTTACTTTATATGCCATGTGGCTGATATTTCCCCCCACAATTTTTATCTTTCAGATAGATTGATAACTTTAAAAAAATCAACAGAGAGCAGGAAAATTTGCCCCAAATGCCACACATACTATGTCTCGGAAGGATCGAGGCATACGTTCTGCCTTTTTCAGCACAGGGGGTGGGGAGAGGGGAGGAGGCTCTGCTTCCATAGGAGACTCCAGGAGGAATTCTGGCTGACTCAGCACTTCTTCCCCCTCACCCAAGCCCACCTTTGCAGGACCCAGCACAATTTGACTCTGAATGTCTCCAATACCAGGTCTTACGTTGCACACACGTGAGGCCCTTCAGTTCAAAGAAAGGCAAAGCCTGAAACATTATTTTAGGTCACATGATAAGATCCCCACCAATTAGATTGTGTTTTGGCAATTGAAGACTGTAATGATGAAGTCGTTGGATTCAGCTGACTTTCCATGATGAACCTGGTTTCCCTCCAAAACTTCTTCAACTTTTCATCTGAAGAGTCTTATGCTTGTTGTCTAGCCAAAGAGCAGTGTTTTTGCGAAGTATGACATTGTTCAAAGAAGGTGCCTTGGAGATAGGGAACTTTAAAAATGAGAGGTTTTTGTTTTTGGCTACTTAACTTTAATATATCTTAAAATAGTTCAGACTAAAAACTCCAAGATTGTGTTCTAAGCTAGTTGTCCTCACTGAGGATTAGTGTCTCTAATAGCAGTGCATATTTTAGGAAGGAAATTGTTAAATGTATTCATTATCAAACTTTGAAACCTTGAAAACTCTGTCGGATCAAATTCTTAGCTGGCCTTCACAAATTCTACTTGTGGACACACAGAATTATGAGCATGTGTATTTATAGGCACAAATCCTGCATACACACTTTTAAAAACTCTATCACCTGCATGTTGCACAAATGTTAGATTTTTGCATATGGGAAAGCCATTAGGAGAAATAGATTTTTCAGTACAAAATCCTAACAGTTATGCAAACATAGGCTTTAATGTTGTTCAAGTGCACATGCAGGAGTTTCTGACTGTAAGAGGCAGGAGTGCAGTGTGTGCACACACAATTTTCACACACACACGTGGAGGCCAGGTACTGAAATTCAGGCCCAAAATCTTTACTGCAAAATAGAGGTTCTCTCTGGAAATTGTAATCTAAACTCGGGGAAAACGTAAGCACAGTGCATCGGCACCTCCTGCTGCTTGTACTAGACATGGCTGTGCTATTTTTAATGTGTGCTTGCTTCATATATCAGTTCCGTGACACTGTTGTTTTGGTGCCTGCAAGGCCCACTGTGGTTTGTTCGAGGTTTTGGCTTCAGCTACTGCTACCCTCTTAGCTCAAACACCCGCCTGTATAGATTACAATTAATCATGAAGACTGGTAAAGAAAAACAGAATATATCATGCCACTAGCAGATGCAGAGGCAGTTTATTTTAACTGGAGTAAAACTGTAGAAAAGACAAAGCTGAGCGTCTGCCCTCAAAGCAACGATGTGTTCTCTGAGTGGCACATTAATCTTAAATTTAGAGTTTAAGCAATTATGGCAGTCAGAGTTTTTCAGCAATAAAAGTAAACTTCTTATGCGGTGCTGACGTTTGAATAAATGAGGAGAAATGTCAAATACATAAAGAAACCTGAACTACAAGGGAAAAATATAATTAAATCCCCCAGTCTCTTTACCTGTGCATGCCATGGAGCTGCTATCTTCCGAGAAGCACCAGGACTGTGCAGTGATGGAGCTTTAAAATTCCACAGGGCTTGCCTTGTTGTGCAGAGTGAATGTCATTGTATGACAATGAGTTTCTGGTTTAAAAAAACTGACACCCCGCTCCCGGAGATCAAATGGGTTATTAATGCTCCAGGCTGTCCAGAAAGTACACAGTGTGGGTTGCATTTTCAGACTGGCATATAAGGAAATACTAAACCAAAACCCCAGAAAGCAACAGTTGGGTTAAAAATCTAGACCTAAACTTGCACCTGGCTCTTCGTTCTTTAGCAGTTGGTAACAGCCCTCTGGATGGGTTATGTGCAGGAATTGCACCTGGTACTTCTTGATTTAAACATATGAGCATCTACCACTATACTTAAATGACTAAGCCCTGTACCCAACTCATAAGTCTCTTATGTGGACCAGCCTCTAGAAGGGGACAAAGATCAACACTGTGCTAAGGAGGGTTACAGGTTGAGATAAACCCATAGATCCTCAAACTCTGGGAAAATTGAGACAAAAATCCTAATCTAAATTTTGTGCCCGGCTCTAGTTCTGTAATGGGTGAAATCAAATCCTTAGATACAAACTCCAAGGCCTATGTCATATTAGGTGTGAATGTAATTCACAGTGTTATAATGGGAGCTGTGTGCTTAACTCTTCCTTTCAGCTCCTTCAAAATATACAACTGAGTGTGCTCAGTGGGTTACAGCTAACTGTTCACGGCAGTAGCTGTATATGGTAGGGAGCATGCTACAAGCATTCTGTCCAACACCTGTTCCTAACAAACACCATCCAGCCTTCAGAATTGTTGATTGTAGTCAATCTGAATCATGATTGTTTACTTGTCAATGCTTTTATATGCCTCATTATTTTGATTTCCGTATGTCTCTCTTTATTCTGTTCTCCTTCAACTTTGTGCTAGAAAATAAAAAGCTGGTCCTAAGCCATCCAGCAAAGTTAGAACAACTGATACCATTGACTTGCTCATAACTACTCCCATGCTTAATGTTGTTAGTGGCACCATTTATTAAGGCCATTAGGATGACAAATGGGTTCCCATTAAATGAATGCCTTTCAGGACCGTCCACTTCATAGAGAGAAGTCAAACTTGTTTCCTGGCACAAGTTACATCGTGCAGTTACTGCCCCTGGCTGCTCCTTCTCATTCAGAGCGTAGGTGTTCAGTCGGCAGATGGGAGCACCCCTTCTTACCCAACTCCAGACATCCTATGAGGAGTATTTCATATCATCCCTGCCCTGGTTCTTTAATACATATCATGCCAAAAGCGTCTCTGAAGCTTACAAATAGACAAGTCTCTGACCCTTAGAGATTGCAGTCTATATTAGATCAAGCACGCAACAAAAACCAGCAGCAGAAGACAGTGGGTAGGGCAGGTAGGTGATGGGGGAAAGACATCAGCAAGCAAAAGGGGGCAAATTAATCTCTAGCACAACTGTATAGATTTCAATGGAGCTACAACCATAGATGAATTTAGCCTGAGAAGAGTGGTTATTTCCACAATGTGAGGCTAAGCCTCTAGGTTCAACTGTGCATAGGGGACAGCACATGGCTGCGCGGCCTGAGGAGGGGAATCAGAGAGTCACATTTCCTTCCCTAGTCCTTTCTTGCTCTTGAGAAAAGTAAGTTGCTGGTGGTGGGGGCAGGCACAGTCCTGGCTTCACACACACACATCCCCACCCACCCCATCTGTTTGCTTGCAGGTGGATTCTCAGGAATGCAGTCTTTTCTCTCTTCCTCATCCCACAGCACCCCAAAGCCGCAATCAGAATAGATTCTGTGGGAGCCACATGGGGAAATTG